TCAGGGAATATCGTGGAAGGGGGTGGGGGGGGGGAAGGGGGAGGGGGGGGAGGGGGGAGGAAGGGAGGAGGGGGAGAAAGGGAAAGGAGAGGGGAGGAGGTGGGGGAGGGGGGGAGCGAGGGGGAAAGGGAGGAAGGGAAGAAAGGGAAAGGAGTGGGGAAGGAGGGGTGGAGGAGTGGGGGGAGGGAGCGAGGAAGGGGGAGGGAGGAAGGGTGGAGAGTGGGTATTGGGGGGAGGGGGGGAGCGAGGGGGGCGGTGGAGTGGGTATTAGAGGGGTTAGAAGGGGGAGGGACTGAGGGGAAGGGTGAGGAGAGAGTAAGGGAGGGTGGGCGTAAGAAAGAGGAGGGGGGGGAGTGAAGTAGGGTATGTGTGGGGGTATGGAAGAGTGGGAGGTGTGTGGTGGGGTGGGGTGGGGAAAACGAGGGGGAGGTGAGGGCGTAGTGAGTGGGAGAGAGGGAGGGGCTGAGGGTATGGAAGGGAATATGGTGGGGGTGAAGAAGGGAGAGGAGTAGAGAGAGGGAGTAGAGAGAAGGGAGAGAGAGGGGCGTAGGGAGAGAGGGGGAGAAGGAGAGAGAGGGGAGAGAGAGGGGGTAGGGAAGAGAGGGGAGAGAAGGGAGGAGAGGAGAGGAAGGAGAGAGAGGGGCGGTAGGAGAGAGGGGAGAACGAAGAGAGAGAGAGAGGGAGGAGACAGAGAGGGCGGAGAGAGGGGCGGTAGGGAGAGAGGGCAGGATCTGGGGGAAGGCAGGGAAAGGTAGGGTAGGAAGAGAGAGGAGCGGAGAAGATAAGATGAGGGTAAGGGAGGTGAGGAAGGGGAGGGAAGGAAAGGAAGGGGAAGAAGAAAGGGGATCAGGCGGTAGGAGGAAAGGAAAGTAAGGGAGTGAGGGAGAAAAGGGAAGAAAAATCTAGGAAGCAGAGGGGAGTAAAATTGGGGAAAGAGATGGCGGAGGTCTAGAATGGATACTGGGAGAGGGAGAGAGAAAGTGAGACTGTGAGAGAAAGAGAGTTGGGGAGAGAGAAGAGAGTTGGAGAGAGAAAGAGAGTTGGAGAGAGAAAGAGAGGAGAAGAAAGAGATTGAGAGAGAGAGTTGGGGAGAAGAGAGTTGAGAAAAGAGAAAGAGAGTTGGAGAAGAGAGAAAGAGAGTTGGAGAGAGAAAGAGAGTTGGAGAGAGAAAGAGAGTTGGAGAGAGAGAAAGAGAGTTGGAGAAGAGAGAGAAGAGAGTTGGAGAAAGAGAAGAGAGTTGGAGAAGAGAAAGAGAGTTGGAGAAAGAGAGTTGAGAGAGAGAGTTGGAGAAAGAGAGAGAGAGTTGGAGAAAGAGAAGAGAGTTGGAGAAGAGAAAGAGAGTTTGGAAAGAGAAAGAGAGTTGGAGAAAGAGAAAGAGAGTTGGAGAAAGAGAAAGAGAGTTGGAGAAAGAGAAAGAGAGTTGGGGAGAAAGAAAAGAGAGTTGGAGAAAGAGAAAGAGAGTTGGGAGAAAAAAAGAGATTTGGAGGGAGGAGAAAGTTCGAGAGAGAGAGAGTTAGAGAGAGAGCTAGAGATTGGAGAAAGAGAAAGAGATTTGGAGAGAAAGAAGAGATTTGGAGAGAAGAAAGAGATTTGGAGAGAGGGAAGATAAATTAAAGAGAGGAGGAAAGAGATTTGAGGAGAGAGAGAGAGTTGGAGAAAGAGAAAGAGAGTTGGGAGAAAGAGAAAGGAAAGAGAAAGAGAAGAGAGGAGTGGAGAGAAAGAAAAGAGATTTGGAAGAGAAAGAAAGAAAGATAGAGAGAGGGAAAGATAATTAAGAGAGAAGGATCAAGAGAGAAGGAAAGAAATAAAGGAGGAAGATTGATATGGTCCTGAAGATCATTGATAAGCAGCGCAGGAAGAAGAAAATAAAGCAAAGCAAATCCCATTAACGAAGACGTGGCAATGCATTAAAAGACAAAAGAAAAATCAAGAAAAAGGGAAAACGAAAATAGAAAAAGAAAAGAAAGAAAAGAAAAGAAAAGAAAAGAAAAAAAATACGAAACAGAAAAGAAAAGAAAGAAAGAAAGAAAGAGAAGAAAGAAAGAAAGAAAAGAAAAGAAAAGAAAAAGAAAAGAAAGAAAGAAAGAAAAAAGAAAAAAACGAAAAGAAAAAAAAAAAGAAGAAAGAAAGAAGAAGAAAGAAAAGAAAAAAAAAAAAACAGACAGAAAGAAAGAAAAGAAAAAGAAAAAAATACGCAGTTAATAATTCTCAAAAAAATATGAAACGAGACACACTGCCAACTCTCATTATCTTTTTTACCCTGTTACCATTATTTCATTATCTTAATGACTTACTAATTCGGCAACATCTTCTGTTTGTTATCAGCGAGATATAATTGTATTACTAGTTTTCCATTTTTTGTTTTATTTACCTTTAACGGGGGGTGGGGGGGGGGGGGGGGGATAGTTCATAAGGGGGAGAGATAGCATAAGAGGGGGGGATAGTCATAAGGGGGGGGGAGATAGTCATAAGGGGGGGGAGATAGTCATAAGGGGGATAG